TGCTGGGTTCTTGTCTCTGTTCCTGGGTGAGGTCTGTGGTTCCTGGATGAATCAATGCGAGGTGATGGCCTGGTCATTACAGGCCATTCAGTAGAGGCCTGCTACTATTGTATTTCAATCATTCCCAATCACGCACATTCATCCGGGAACCAATTTACCTGGGAGGGGTACATGAATCATACAGTTGCAACACAGGGGGTGCCCAGGCAGAGGACACAAGATGGAGGCTTGACATACAAAATGGAAACTTGACATGACTTATGCTAACTTGCATATATAGGCCTAAAACAGTAATCGGACAATATAAAAGCAGTACAAACATAATAATTATCAGTTATAAAACAGTGGGTATCAATATCAAAATAGCAGGAAACTTATTTGCAAAGAGGGGAGAGAAAAATAAAACTTACTACCTAAAATAAAATGTTAAAGCTTATCCTACATCTTAGCTTACTTATACTTATCTATAGGGAATAGAGAGGGAGAGAAAAAGTCAGAAATGGTTGGGGAAGGGGAGGGAATGCATTTTAAAATAAATAAAAAAAGAAAAACTGGGGGTTTTGCTACATGGTAATGAAATCAGAAACCACTGACATCAGTGTATTGATCACCCCTGTACATGTTTTTTCAGCCTAAAATAAAAAATGCATTTGAAAGAAATGGTGTGTTCTTATTTTATCCCAAACAGATTTCACAAGACCAGGTCATGCTGTCTCATAGTCCTTTGAGAATGTTCAAACGTTATCATGACAAATGCGTTCTTGTGTCTGGGCAAGGACCACTTCTTGATATTGCCAATTGGTATCCTTTTAAAAGAACATTTTATGTTTTTAAGTATTTTCATTCATCTAGTTCATCTTTTTCGGTGAAATGTTAAAATGTATTTTAGACAATGTTAGAAACTGAACGCAGTGTTTGTTTCTTTGTTCAAAACTGCTAACATTGTTGGTATGGTGCAGTACCTTTTTGTTGTTGTTTTGTTTTTCCCCCTTCTTTACTTAACCTTTTTTGTACCAGGGTACAGAAGTACTTGAACTTGTATGAAAATGACTAATCACTTCTTAAGGCACTGCCCTGAGGATGAATCTTGGGATATTGATATCTGGTAACTAGGAATGTATTTCCAGAACCATTTGACAGGCCTATTCTTGAAATAAACTTGCTTTTAACACATTTCCTTTCTTGGGTTATATAGTTTATCCCTAATGACTTCAATTTTCAGAGTTAATTTCTCTAAAAGGGATTTTATGCTGTGAAGTCTGTCTTCAAGTTTGAAACTTCCCTTAAAAAGCAATATTTTTTGTTTCTTTTCTGGGAATTTGCATTAATGTTTAATTGAAAATAATGAGATGCCCAAAGGGGAGCTCTAGACCAGTGGGGGCAAAACCTATTTGTGGCAGGCTTGCCACAATTGGCCTTGAACCCTTTCTAAGTGCAACTCCAATCTCCTTTCCCTTCCTGATCTACTGCTCTGCATTCTGCTTCTTTCCTTGTTTTCCCTGCCTGATCTACTATTTTTCTTTCTGCTTCCTGTCTTATCCACTGCTGTGCTGCCTGTTCTCTCCCCAGTCTGCTGCATGCACACAAAGGCTTCTTGTGGCACCCATGCCATAGGTTGGCCACTCCTGCTTTAGACCATTCTAATCCTTTTGTATGGCAGGCATTGTCTTTACCAATTTTGCATACAATATTATAAGGTGGTATTATGCATTTTACCTTTCATGACAGGACTATGTATAGTAAAACATGATTGTCTGACACTGCAGAGGCTAAGTATTTCTTACGATTCAGTGACTTTCAAATCTCTGTTCTATTTAAAATGTGGAAGTGTAGATAAGACTCTCAGTTTCAGGGCTAGTTACACTACTGAAATCCCAATGTGCCTCCTGCCATGACACATGTGCATGGCAGGAGGTGCGATTGTGGGATCATGCATTGATTAGATCCTGTCGCCTTATCACTGGTGCAGGGGGAATCCAGAGTCATGATCCCAGGCCCCCCCCCCATGCCAGCTTCCATGACTGTGGGGCTCACAGCATGGGCAGTGCTGGGAATGCTGCCACCATTGCGAGCCTTATCAGGACATCAGGGGCAGTTCTGTTGGCTGCAGGGCTGGCCGTGGGGATGGCAATGTCCAGCAGTGGAAAGAATGCTTCCACTGCTGCAAGCCCAGCAGCTGATGAGGCTCGCAGCAGCAGCAGTTCTGGGAATGCTGGTGGTGCATCCCTTTGGCTGGGAGCCCCTCAGGTGATGGGGCTACCAGCCAGAGGGGAGTACTTAGCCACAGGTTTAATTAATGGCATGATTAGAAACAGCTGTAAATTTGTTAACATTTTTTGTGAAATAACTTTGTATCTTATTGCTTGATTTGTCATTCCCGTAGTTGGTTAAACATATATCTTGAGTCACAGTTTAAGGTATGGTTAATTCGTTAATCTCACTTTAAGTATAATGTGTAGAGGGGGCCCTAGAGCAGGTAATGGTACCACCCACCAGAAGAACATTCTTCACGTTATAAATAAGACACACCTGGTACCCATCTCTTGTGGGAGGGAAAGCATTTTGGGCTATTCTGCTTGTTTCCTGGAAAACTTCAGCTCTCAGAGTTAATTTCTCTAAGAGTGTTTTTTACATTGGAAAATAACTAATGGTGACATAATGTTTAAATAGCTTCCCTGCTTGTTATCAGAATCCTATCTACTGTGCTTACTGGATAAAATGTTATATGACTCTGCATTCCTGGTAGTCCTGCAAAAGCAGTGCATCAGAGAGTAAGAGAAGCTCTGTTCTGCATGTGTTTTAACAGAACTGTTGGCTAAATACAAGTTACAGCTAGACCAAATATGCACACACCTTGAGGACAAGAGGGTTGCATGAGTGACACTGAGAACATAATTAAGGAATCTACATAGATATAGCTAAGGCCATCACGTGATCTGAGCACCCCAGAACATTTATGCTTGGTGATGTTTATGAAGAAAGTAATTTTATAATTAGTCTTTTTATATATGCGTTGAATCTGACATGATCTCCAAATTCAGTACCTTCTCACTAAATTAAAATTTTCATTAAAACTTTAAAAACAGATGTTCAGATTGGAATTTTATTTAAACAAGACAAAATATGCTTGATACTTTGCTTACATTATCCATTTGAAAATTTAAAGCTAGTTACCAAGAATACTCTTTGGACAGCTATAAACATTCAGGCATAGTAAGAAACAGCATGATAGGATCTCTTACATTAGTTTTCAAATTCATGATTGTATCTACAATATAAACCTCAGGTATAATTAGACTTATACTGAACATGTACTTTCAAAGATTTTAAAATCTTTATGAATGACTGAAATCCTGGTATGAAAGGGAGGATTTTTTTGTGTGGTTATATCTTTTTATTGGACCAAGTGCATGGTTGGAATAACATTGGACAAGCTTTTGAATATAAGACATACTTCATCAGGAAGAAACAAATGGTCAGCTTTTTAAATAGTTTTTGATCCTTCTTGTATTTTTGCATATGTTTGAGGGCAGGTTTTGCTAGTACTGAGCATTGGATGTTTGTACTATTCATAAACAAACAAGTGTTCTTTGAATTACTCCATTAAGGTTTAGATTTAATGGAATTCTGTTTCTTAAGGGTATTGCTATGAAAATTAGAAGATTGCTTCATGATCTCATTCAGTATAGGAGGTTTTTCTTTCCCTTTCCTCTTTAAATTTTTTCCCCCCACTTCTAAGGTGCAATTAATTGTTTCTTAAGGTACAGATAAACAGCGCCCATTGAAGCAGACCAGTTGTGCTGGGACAAATCCTGATCAGCTTCATTGGGTGAAATGCATGTCCCTTGTTATCCTACCCTCTTTATCCTGTGGGACAACAGGCAATGTGTTCTGTGCTTGCAGATGTGCCCTGTGGGGAACCTCCAGGGCACATCTCTGCAAGCGGGGAGAGCTGGATCCTGTGTAGTCATGGGGCTGGGACTGCCAGTCTGCTGATCCAAGCCTGGGACCACACTGGAGTGTAGACACATTCCCTGGGAATCCCAAATGGGGAAATCCAGGCAGGCACTTTTGAGGTTCCAGGGACCCCAGGAATTCCTGCTCCTGGGGTGTGCAGGATTGGGCTCCAGGAATGCCAGCTGGGTAGGCTGAAGAGTGCAGGCAGTCCCAGGCTGCCTGTGCTTTTCCATCTTAAAACAGATGCCAGCCACAAGACAGCAGCACAACACACACCTATGTCATGGCCACAGATTTGGGGTATTTTTGTCATGAAAAGGAGCACCAAGATCTGTTTGGCATTTGTGCCCCCATGAACATTTTTGTGGAGGCACAAAGGCTACATCTTTTCATATCCATAATTTCCTTCTATCAAAATCTAAATACTCAACTAGCCAAAATATGATTTACAAATAACATTTTACAATGGTTATTTAGCTATAACTTCTGATGAACTTCAGGGCTCCCTTTTAAGCAAATGCAAAATAAGATGTTATAGTGATGTTGGGTTCTGAAATGCATGCTTTTTTCCACTTCTGTCTATGTGAGCTGTCCTAGTAAAGCTACAAAGCAAGCCCAAATCCAAGTGAAGTAACTTCTTTCATGATATAGATTAAAATGAAGTTAGGGTCTCTGACTTCTTGTATTGTGTTCTCATGTAATTTGTGTTGCCAGGATTGTAACTTGATATATTTCAATTTGTTGACTTTATGTTCTTAATTTTAAGATATAGAAATATGTATGTATTTTTGTGTCCTTAACTGGAGTTTTACAGTTTGGGTTTTTGTCGGCCTGTTACTATTGATATGCTACGGGAGATGTACCCTTTGCTGGATATGGTGGACCATGACAGAAGGCCTAAAATTTTGGTGAGTATTTATATTGAAACTTTTCTGTGACTGTTGGTTAATACTCAGTATTGTCAATGACTACTTAGTAGCATTAGTTTATTCTCTTTTGTATTGTGCTTTTGAATTTGATTTCTACCTCAGTTTTTGGTTCACTGCAGTGCTAAAGCTGTTGAACAGATTTTTCGAATAGGTCATCTTGTCACTAGGATTCACATTGACTCAGCAATTGAATACTCAATTGCAGCTTTTGATCTATAACCTAGTAGATTGATAATGCCCTCATCTGCCTTCTGTACCTGTGGCAAGTTAAAGTGTGTGTCTGTTGTTTCAGACTTTGTCTGGTAGTTTTATGTGAATTTGTTCTTGAAGTTCAGAAGAACAGGTTAAGACAAATGCTTGTCTAGAAGGGCTTAAAAAGGGATGGTCCTGCTTTAATAAGTAGGGGCTTGGACTAGATGACCCTGAGGTTCCTTCCCGCCTTACTTATCTATAGCAAAATACATACAAAAAACATTAGATTTTGTTCAGTTGCCTAATAAACTTCCCAGTATAGCAGACTTCATGTTTTCTGAAGAAAAGCGGAAGGAAGGTTATTTTTTTTCTTCCATGCAGGATTGTGACAATATTGGTAAGTTATTACTGCTAGGTTGTGTGGTTAGTGATTTGTTATATTCCTTCCAAAGGCATTGCTTACTTGCTTACCCCATAAGCTGTAACAGAACTGATTATACTGGCATATGTAAGCTTTCCTGATTTAAATTACCTTTAACTGAAATGGGACAGGAGGCTCACAGGCTTGCTTAATGAAGCCCTCTGTTTATTTGTAGCATACTAGGATATACTATTATCTCTTGCATACAGTGCCTCCCCCCACCAAATAAAAACTAAAATGCACCTTGTTTTTAGAACGCAGAATATATAGGGTAAAAGACTTTCTGGAGCCCTGGCTGACTGTGGCAGAGTAAGTCTTTCTTACACAGTGTTCAAGAAGTACAAGAAACTGCCTGGTGTGGCAGGGAATTCCTGCTCCCTCATCCAGACTGTCTCCTGGCATGCCACAATTCCTGAAACAGTCTGGGTTCCCAGGGGGACTTACTGTGTCATGTGAGGTTAGGCCCCAGCCACTTGCAAAGGTAGTAGCAAGATTGACAGTATTTTATTGTAAATAGCTTTTTATATGCATTTCTGTAAGTGAAGCATCATTTCCACATCAAAAGCCTTATCAAAATACTGTCAGCAGCTCACTTGCTGCTTCAGCTACAAGTGACAGTGCTCAGCCCTTATTATGGCTGAAAGGGTTAACAAACCAAACACAAGTGGCAGGCATCTTGGCAGCTGCATCTTGTCTCCAGGCTTGCTTCTTTTCTAGCAAAAAAAGGACAGCTTCTCTGCTTAATCGTAGAGAAGTAGAGATGGAAGATACATCCAGAGGTCACCTCCAGCCCCTTGCCTGAGGAAGAATTATCCCTATCCAACCATCCTATATAATCCATAATCTAAAATCTACATAAA